ATTGTTCGTTCATCGTGAAATGGCAATGTTATTTCGCGTTCTTCCGTGCAGGAACGCCCCCTTTTACGTCCCTCTGAAAAAGCTTTCATTATTTAATAATAATAAAAAAGTGCAATCACCATTATCTTATGATTGATTTAAAATGGCCATTAATTCTCGCTCATTGATAATCCAAGTTTAATTAACCACTTGACCATGCACCAATACCCTGAAATTTCATATTACTATACAAATCCTATGGTACAGCGTTGACACGTTTATTAGTTGGCACATCCAAGATATTACCTTCACAGCATTTTTCTAGATATGTTTATATCTATGACCCACTCTTTGAGACCTAGCCTAAGTATGACGAAAGTGCTATATATAACGAAAACAGCGGAGAAATGGATTAAATAGACTTGCTATATTGTACAAACTAAAGAAGGTCGGAGTTGAACTAAACCCGAAAAATTCAGTCTCTCCCCGTAATCGATTTCTCCTATATACTTGTTAATGAAGTAATCGTAGATCAGCGGAATATGACGACTGAATTATTAGGGTAGGTGCAAATAAAAGTCTGAATTAACCAAATATGTAGTTTCATAAGGAGGGACCTGGACAACCTGCCCCCATCCCACCCCCCTAAATCAGCCCCCGAGTTGTCATACGTATTGACCGTTCTTGGCGCACACACGGTTTTCATTGCCTTTGTGTATTTTTGTATAAATAAAAAAAATGATTATAGTACTTAATTCAATCCATTTTCTTGAGACATATTACACGTACACGAATCATAAATTTTCTACGTTTTTATAATTTTGAACACAGCGTATGTCCTGGGACCTGACCTGAAATATACATGAAACATAGAAAATTCATGATAGTAACGCGTATAGGAACAACATTTAAATTCAAGGGGTTAGGGGGTTTGGTCTGAGTCAGAAATCATTTGGAACACAACGTTATTCCCCACTGTTACCAAGCAATTTTTTTCTCAAAATAAACGGTATGGGGAAATCTGGAATTCAGAATATTTTTTTGTCATCTGCCTGACCAAAATATTTTTTTCTCTCATCAAATTGGGGATCAGAATATGATTTTATGAGGGGAAAAAAGCAGTCACCCACCCCTTTGAAGTTAAATGGTTGTCTTAAGAATTAATTAAATTGATATAGGTATGGTGTTTCAGGGGGGCTATCAGGGATTTGGAGTACTTGTATTCGGGATTATTTTTATAATCTGAATATAAAATAAGTGGTACAAATATATAATTACATTAGATGTATGTTTCATTATAATACGTTATTCTTAGTGGCTAACTGAAATCTCCCGTTATTCCTTAATCAACTTCATTACACAATGAAATTTATCATTCATGATGACACGAGATCCAACAGTAAAATGCACAGGCAAATTAAATAAAAAAATGATAAAAATCGTGTTTTCATGATCCTAGCTAATTAACAATGTAATTATAAGTATTGGATGCTTCTTTTTGTAACTTCATAGGGGTGTAAAAGCATTGACCGTGCGCACATTTTTAGAATGAAGCGCTTCCGCGCTTCATACAAAAGGTACTTCGGCCAACGCTTTTACACCCAAATGAAGTTACAAAAAGAAGCATTCAATTCTTAAATAAAAAAAAAAACATTTGGAAATCAACTTGACAAGATATCAGAAAACGGGAGCGATGAGAGATCGATTTTTAATTACATTGAAGTTATCCTCGACATACAAAAAATAACTAAATAAGTTGTCTAATTTGTTGACAAATATAAATATTCGTGGTAAAAAAAAGACAAAACATTGCGTATGAGGGTCTACATGGAGTTAACAGAATAGACAATTCGGGCAAATCTGATGAAAAAAAAAACGAAAATTTGTAGTTATAGGAAATTAACCCAACGAACAGCAATTGAAATCTCCTCCCCATCAAATTGTACCTCACGACCTGTATAATGCTGGAAGTGGTTTAATGTGCTTTTGGAACACCCTTTAAAAATATGAGTAGGGTTCTGCAGGCCACGGCTTAGGTAGCACTTCACAGTTAGAAAATAAAATTAAAATTGAGCCACAGAATGTTTAATAATCTTCCGATCCTGGCCTTCTAATATATTAGGCCAACTGCAGCGCTTGTGTCATACATGCGAAACTACACACCTATCTATGGAGTGCTACCTTACTCGAATGCTCCCGATACAGTTATGCTGATGAAGATATAATGAAACTAATAGAACCGGGAGTTTTTAACGACCTTGACTGGCTATACATATATATGGAAGTTTTTAACGACCTTGACTGGCTATACATTGCTCAGTCGGCTATATAGGGGGAATGGCACGGTGCCCACCCCCTTTTTGTTGGAAAATAAATGTTGATTATATAGGGAATCACTAAAGAATGATTAGCAGTTAGTGCCCCCTCCCCTTATATAAAAAAATCTGGATCCGCCACCGAGAACAAGTTAAACTAATACAAATAATGCCGAAAATGGAACATCTCAAGTATATAAGGTAATCACACTCCCACTCCCGAAACAAAAAAAAACCGTCATGTTATTGCAATCTAATAACAGTTATTTAATTCGCTATATTATTGTTTTCATTAGTTTACAAGTTGTGACCTTCGAAATTGTTTTATTTAATTTTCCTATAGACTTTTATGGTAACCCCCTTTGCCCCTAAAAAACAAATAAAATAAAGTTTCCCTCCCACAAGATTCAAAACTTAAACGTTGATTTGAAAAAAAAACTTGATTTTAGATTTTCGGTTATAAATTGAAATGAACCTTCTAGAGCCTCAACTTTAACGCGCACAATAATGTCAATCATTACACATCAAATTTAACCCTAAATTGACATTCCACAATCGGTCAGTAACATCACCTGTGTTTATAGTTACATGATATTTCCCGCCGTTGGAAAATCTCGTGCAGTCGACACAATTGATCTGAGTTATTTTTAACATTCTCTTTTGTGAGCTAAGTCAAGTTTAAGATCAAGTTGATTACAGATATTTTTGGCGTGCATTATTTCATTATTTAAAATGTTCGGTCTACATTCGTTACAGTCTAATTTTTAATTAAAAGAAACGTAACATCATTTCTTTTTTTTTTGTTGGCAATTATAGTAAATTAATCTCATCCCGGAATGTATATAATATACACTTTAACATTACACCTGAAAGTGCTTTATAATAAACGGAGAAACTGTCTAACAATTAAAATTTAAAAGAATATTATCTCTCAGGCTTATTTTAAGATGAGTGATTGTTGGTTGCTTAACTTCCAGTGGCAAATATTCCATGCATGTCAGAACGAACTTAGTTTTAAGATCGCACTCTCAAAAATAATTGAAAAACAATAATGATCAGAAAAACTTTTATTCATGTAAAATAACCCTCCAATCTTTTAATTAGAACTTATTTATTTTTCACAATGTAACAGATTAGCTAACAAGACGTGCATTGAGGTATACATGTACGCAACTTTCATATCTTTTAAATGGAACTTTTTTGTCTAAAAGACAACCTACGAGTTAGCGAAATCGAGTTTGAAAGGACTGCATTTTGCGTAAATACATATACATATTATGAAACGACGGTCGGTGTATTACCAACATACTGCTATACCAGTTGACCCCTGATATCAACTAAGGTTAAAACTTTCCCCTGTCCGTCAGAAATGTAAAGCTTCAATTCAATGTTGACACCTGTATCAAATAAACAGATGGTTCATTGTATTTAGTTCCAATAAACGGTTCTTTTTGTATAACCACAGTTGAATAGTAATTCAATAAAACAAATGACGGATGAACTAATTAATTATGAATATGAAATAATGTCCAAATGTTCCTATATATATACTAGTATACACATTCGGACTACAATTCGCAACTTGTTATTATCTCATCGAATCATGTTGTTTTGTTTATATATGCCTTCAACCCTAGGAGTATAAATGTGCATTTCATTAATAAAGATTAATGGATCACACAGGTAAATCAGATCGTAGTAAAAATTCATATTTGCCAATGAAATTTAAATGATCTCTGGCCTCGGACATATACATATATTTTTCTATTAAACAAGTCTCAAATCAGTATGTGACATCTTGCTGGATTACGGCATCTACAGTAATAAGACTATTAGTACAGGAACTGATTTCTTTTCTAAACATGACAATAAAGAAGAATTTTACAAGGTGAGAATATTTGTAGTTGTGTATTTCAAAGTTACCGCGTGTATTCATCCTGTTCATCGGTCACATTAAAATAGATTTTTCTTTATTGAACAATAACCAAATTCGATATTTAAATATTAAGTAACTTTATTATCTCGACTGAAAAGGGTAATAAGACAGTTTTTTTTTATCTGACTGTAAACATTGTATATATCACAACGAGCTATTAATAACCGTCGCTCACGCACCAATAGTTCTATTGACGACTCAATACACACCAGTTTTATCGGACCAACGGCTAATTCCCGTCGACACTGTATAATGGATTATGTAAACATCTATATACAACGATCTATTTATAACCGTCGCTCACGCATCACTGGTTCTATCAATGACTCAATACACACCAGTTTTATCGGACAAACGGCAAATTCCCGCCGACACGGTAAATCTCCGGATGACATGCATAATTTTCTGTGACACAGCAAATTTACGATGAACCTCTAATTATTTTCCGTTCCGCGCAGATTATCCAAAAATCGCGGTCATTTGCCAAATAGGTCTACCAGTGATAGGTTGCATCATTCATTTAACAGAAAATTTATAAAGAAATTATAACAACAATATATTGCATCAATCTTTCATATAATATTCAGTGTAATAAAATGCTGTTCAAAAGTTACTTTCAATTACATAGACAAAAACAGTTAGATTTTCATTGGATAAAAGCATGAAGATATTTTGAAGTGATTGAATGATCAGAAAGTTTGAATTAATTTTTAGGTATTTTAAATTATTACATGTTGAGAAAATTAAGGATAAATTTACATTTTTTCAAGATGATATGTCCAGGGTATTACTGACACAACATAAAGATGATTATATAAACGCTAGCTGGATAAATGTAAGTCATTATTGTCTTAGAACTTGCTATATTCACATTTAAAATAACCATACTTATCAAAAAATTTTAATGTTTGCTTTATTCTTTTAAAAGAAATCCAGAAATCAATGTTGTAAAAAGTAAAATCACAAAAATACTGAACTTTAAAAAGGAAAGTCCCCAATCAAATGGCAAAATCAAAAGCTCAAACACATCAAACAAATGGATTACAACTGTCATATTCCTGACTTGGTACAGGCATTTTCTTATGTAGAAAACGGTGGATTGAACCTGGTTTTATAGCTAGCTGAAACCTCTCACTTGTATGACAGTCGCATCAAATTCCATTATATTGACAACAATGCGTGAACAAAACAAACAGACACAATAGGTACAAATGTCAAAAATAGGGGTACAGCAGTCAACATTGTGTTATCATCTTAATCACTATAAAAACAAACAAATGTAACGAAGAAGCACAAAAAGGCATACATCAAATTTAACATCCTCATTTTGCTTATATTATACGATTTTATTTATCTATGTAAAATCCACCCATAAAGGATGGAAGGTTTTAAGTACTAGCGTAAAATCATGCGTTTGAAATTCGCACAGATAGACATAAAATAATTTTTTCGTTCAAAGTATGACGGGATACATAAATACAGAGTCACGTAAAATGGATATCACAAAAAACAGACTTAACAGTAAAAGTAATATTAATAAATAAAATAATAATGTGGTCCAAAGTATGACGGGATACATAAGTACAGAGTCACGTCAAATGTATATCACTAAAAATAGACTTAACAGTAAAAGTAATATTAATAAATAAAATAATTTTGTCTTTCAAAGTATGACGTGATATATAAATACAGAGTCACGTAGAATGGATATCACAAAAAACAGACTTAACAGTAAAAATAATATTAATAAATAAAATAATAATGTGGTTCAAAGTATGACGGGATACATAAGTATAGAGTCACATCAAATGTATATCACTAAAAACAGACTTAACAGTAAAAGTAATATTAATAAATAAAATAATTTTGTCGATCAAAGTATGACGGTATACATAGGCACAGAGTCACGTCAAATGGATATCTCAAAAAACAGACTTAACAGTAAAAGTAATATTAATAAATAAAATGATTTTGTCGTTTAAAGTATGACGGGATACATAAGCACAGAGTCACGTTAAATGGATATCTCAAAAAACAGACTTAACAGTAAAAGTAATATTAATAAATAAAATAATTTTGTCGTTCAAAGTATGACGGGATACATAAGCACAGAGTCACGTCAAATGGATATCTAAAAAAACAGACTTAACAGTAAAAGTAATATTAATAAAGACAAATAAAAGAATACTATAACACATAAGTAAACATCTGAATATAAATTTGAAACACCACCATGAGTTAAAATCATATTCTGTTGTTACTCATCTAAAACATGATGGGGATTAGGGGCGGGGGGCTCAATGGGCGAGTGGTCTTAGTTTGTCAAAACTGATAACTAGCCTGTCAACACCTAGCTTGTGAGATCACCACCCACTTGTGGCAGGTAGGTTGGACTCCTATCTTAATTGACTAGGATTATCAGTTTTCCTGCCAAAGATTGGTGGTTCTCTCAGTCACTCCAACTCCTTGCACCAATAAAAACTGGCAGCTATGATAAAGTTAATAGAGCTGAAAGTGGTGTTAAACACAATTAATCAATCAGTGGAATATGATGACTAAGAAAAACTTAAAAGTACTTGTAAGCATACAATGAGTAATAAGAGTATGAGTTGCTAAAGGTCCCCAATAGGTGCAAGAGAGAAACCTTGAAGAAGCCTTGACTTTAGATAAGAATGTAGTGTGTTTGTTTTTCATTCCCCAATTTTTGGATTTAAACATTCATATGTTTATTTTCAGGATTTGGCAGAATCTTGTCCTAAATTTATTGCCACACAAGCTCCATTGCACTCCACTATGTTTGACTTCTGGTTAATGGTATATGAACAGGGGTCAGAGGTCATTGTTATGCTGTCAAGTGAAGTGGAAAACAAAGACACAAAGGTATGTTAATAATTGATTTTAAAAATAACTAATTGCTTGATCTGTACTAACTTGAGAAATATGGTACAGAATTTAGAAAATACAAAACCACTTTTTTAAACATATTTTTCCAATGATTTAAAGCTGAAATGAGCAATTTCCTAATTCTATTCTTTTACCAAAAAGCAACAACAACAATATTTTTGTGGTGACAGATTGGTAACTAGCATATTTAACATATTTGTACAGCCAAGGGACAACCATAATTATTTAACTTTGAAAGAAAGACGCCAAAGTGATATGTAAATCATGAGTTGAAGACAAACTGACTATGACATGGCGAAAGATGAAAAACGAACAAAAGACAAACAAAAGTCTACAAAACACAACATGGAAAAGTAAAGACTAGGCAACACGAACTCCACCAAAAACCTTGGATGATCTTAGGTGCTCCTGAGAAATGGGGAATATGTCAATGAGAAATAAACCTACAAACACTTCTCTCTTCAAAAACTTGCTCTAGAGGTGCTAGGTAATGTGTGTCAAAATTCAGTGGTGCTACATTTATATAAAGGTTTTATAAATCATATTTTACTTTCATTTAATCAGCTGCCAACTTGTTTTTTTCTGTGGAAGATAACAAATCTTATAATTGGAATATTATAGAAATTTCCTGAATATTGGCCACCAGAGAAAGGCAAATTAACACACCATGGTCCTATTACATTAACACTACAGAGCTTGAAAGACACACAATTGTGGACAGAGAGAATTATCTATCTACAACACCAACAGACAAAGACTGGGAGGACTATAGTACATCTACAGTACAAAAACTGGCCTGTCAGGTAGGAAAATGTTACATCTACAGTATACAAACTGGCCTATCAGGAAGGGAAATGTAACATCTACAGTATAAAAACTGGCCTGTCAGGTAGGGAAATGTAACATCTACAGTATACAAACTGGCCTGTCAGGTGGGGAAATGTTACATCTACAGTATAAAAACTGGCCTGTCAGGTAGGGAAATGTAATTATCTACCTACAACACCAACAGACAAAGACTGGGAGGACTATAGTACATCTTCAGTACAAAAACTGGCCTGTCAGGTAGGGAAATGTAATATATACAGTACATAAATTGGCCTGTCAGGTAGGGAAATTTCCTGAATATTGGCCACCAGAGAAAGGCAAATTAACACACCATGGTCCTATTACATTAACACTACAGAGCTTGAAAGACACACAATTGTGGACAGAGAGAATTATCTACCTACAACACCAACAGACAAAGACTGGGAGGACTATAGTACATCTACAGTACAAAAACTGGCCTGTCAGGTAGGGAAATGTTACATCTACAGTATACAAACTGGCCTATCAGGAAGGGAAATGTAACATCTACAGTATAAAAACTGGCCTGTCAGGTAGGGAAATGTAACATCTACAGTATACAAACTGGCCTGTCAGGTGGGGAAATGTTACATCTACAGTATAAAACCTGGCCTGTCAGGTAGGGAAATGTAATTATCTACCTACAACACCAACAGACAAAGACTGGGAGGACTATAGTACATCTTCAGTACAAAAACTGGCCTGTCAGGTAGGGAAATGTAATATATACAGTACATAAATTGGCCTGTCAGGTAGGGAAATGCAACATCTACAGTACAAAAATTAGCCTGTCAGGTAGGGTATGTAATATCTACAGTACAAAAATTGGCCTGTCAGGTAGGGAAATGTAATATCTACAGTACATAAACTGGCCTGTCAAGTAGGAAATGTAATATCTACAATACACAAACTGGCCTGTCAGGTAGGGAAATGCAACATCTACAGTACATAAACTGGCCTGTCAGGTAGGGAAATATAATATCTACAGTTCATAAACTGGCCTGTCGGGTAGTGAAATGTAATATATACAGTACATAAACTCGCCTGTCAGGTAGGGAAATGCAACATCTACAGTATACAAACTGGCCTATCAGGTAGGGAAATGTAATATCTACAGTACATTAACTGGCCTGTCAGGTAGGGAAATGCAACATCTACAGTATACAAACTGGCCTGTCATGCAGGGAAATGTAATATCTACTGTACACAAACTGGCCTTTCAGGTATGGAAATGCAACATTTACAGTATACAAACTGGCCTGTCAGGTAGGGAATTGTAATATACACAGTACACAAACTGGCCTGTCAGGTAGTGAAATGTAATATCTACAGTACACAAACTGGCCTGTCAGGTAGGGAAATGTATATCTACAGTATAAAAACTGGCCTGTACACTGCACAAACTAATCTTTCAGATGGAAATATATATATGTTACATGTAAAGTACACAATCTGCCCATTCAGGTGCAGATATGTTACATGATCAGGTATGGTACACAAACTAGTATTCCAGGTGGGGGATGTGTTTACATCTCCAATACACAGACTGACCTTTCATGCAGGGATATATATATATATGTTACATGTACAGTACACAAACTGACCTTCAAATAGATAAAGGGATAATGTTACACAAACACTACAAACACTGTCCTTCCAGGTTGGGATGTATGTGTTAACATGTACAGTCTTTTTGTAATTTTTTGCACATTTTTGTGTTGATTTTAAAATATTCAAATGTGTATAGACCATGGAGTTTCTATCAACTTTAAATTTAATTGTGGTGTGTAATTCAAAGGCTTTGAAAAGAAAAAAAATAGTTCATTTCCATTTTGATTACAGTGGGTTTCCAGAGAAGGTTCCTAGTGTGTTACAGTTTATCAATGAAGTCCATAACTTCTACAGACAGCAGAGAAGTCTTCTAAAACCTGTCATGGTTCACTGCAGGTATAGAAATAAAGATAGAAATCATTTACTCACCAATCATGGACCCTTGAGGGGTTGAAATTTCATACAATTATTACAATATTATTTTAAGCCAATAAAATAATCAGTTAAATACAGCATAATAGATTAAGGAACAGTGTATGCACATGAGAGAGAAAATGTTTATAGGGTAGATAATCATTTTATATAAGGATTACTTATCTTTGTACAGTATCTGATAACATTTCCATATCTTGTGTTTTTCAGGTTCTATAATATCCTGTACTTCACTTGTTACTGATGAAATCAATGTGATTATTTTATAGACTTCATTAAACACCTTCAGTTGTCACTTTCAAAATATTTACTCTTTTGTCACAATAAAAAAAAACATGTTTATGCCCCTGCCGATCAGAGAGGGCATTAAGTTTTACCCTTGTCCGTCTGTACGTCCATACGTCCGTCCGAACGTCCCAAAATTGGTTTCCGTTCTCTAACTTTAGTTTGCCTCAACCAAATGTCATGAATTTTTGTGGTGTCGCTTTTACTGTTTTAGAGTTCTGCCCCTTTACAAATGGAAAAAGTACTGAATTAGTCGTTTCCTTTCTCTAACTTTAGTTTGCTTCAACCAAATGTTATGAAACTTATACACAATGCTTATAACCACAAAACACAGATCAAGTTTGAAAGTTGGTGGTGTCACGTTTACCGTTCTAGAGTTATGTCCCTTTACAAATGGAAAAATTACTGAATTTTTCTTTTCCGTTCTATAACTTTAGTTTGCCTCTACCAAAAGTAATGAAACATATGCACAGTGCTAATTACCACAAAACACAGATCAAGTTTGAATTTTGGTGGTGTCACTTTTACTTTTCTAGAGTTATGCATCTTTACAAATGGAAAAATTGCTGAATTCTTCGTTTCTGTTCTCTAACTTAAGTTTGCCCCAACTAATTGTTATGAAACTTGTAAACAATGCTTATTACCACAAAACTCAGATCAAGTACAAATTTAGGTAGTGTCACTTATACAGTTCTTGAGTAATATCCCTTTATAATGTTAAATGCAAGTGGGGGCATCGTCTGTGTCCCATGGACATATTCTCCATTTATTTCAGATATTTCTATTTGCATTTAAACTTTCTAATCAGTTTGATATTTTTTCTGAATCGCACATTGATTTAATTTTTGTGTGATTTTTCAAATCTTTTATTATAAAGAGCATTATACTCTTAGTTTTATTTTTAATCAATAGATTAACAGATGTTACAACTTAATCTTACTATTATGATGTTAATCAAATTTTAATTGCAGTTGAAAAAAGTGGCCGAATTATGATGTTAATCAAATTTTATTTGCAGTTGAATTTTCATATTTTTTAAATGCTTGTCTTAAAGTTCTTTTTTTTCAATCTAGAGGAGATAAATATCAAAAGTGGTATTATGGTAGAATATGTATTTATAGACATGATAATATGATTTTCATGTTCTGGTGTTACATTGTACATGACTTAATAGTAGGAAATTGAGATTTAGGGTATCCTTAAAGCAGACCCAATAAACAACTATTTCCAACTACTGTAAATTCATATATTTTTTGCATACATTTATTATTGTGATTTCTGAAGAATGGACAAAAATTGAGATTTCAGGAAAATCTGCATTAAGGTATATATATATATATCAGATGTCAGAATGGGAGTTCTTGTTGAGATTTTCACCCAATTGCATTATTTGCATTAATAATAAAAGCCTAGCAATAGTTTCTGTATTTACATTATGAAATTATACTCGGAATAGCTGAGACATGGAACATAATAAATGAACTTAATTCTTTTTGCAGTTAACTTTAAATTCAGTTTTGGATTGAAAATTTTCTGTTGGACATCAATAACTTTGTTAGGCCTTCATATTATTTTTTTAGAACAAAAACTGTCTGAAGAAACTATTAATTTTTTCATTAGTTTTCCGTACTTTACTGATAAATGGAATTGGTTTTTGGCAATCAACATTACACTTTTACACTGACAGCAGCTATCGCAGGAAAAACTTTCAGCAGAGCCCTTTATGAATTTTTTGGCAGTAAACCTTAAGATTTTACACTGACAACAGCAGTCATAGGCATGACAAAGGACTCATTAATACCCTTTATGAATTTTATATACTGATATTAACAATTTCAGTAATGGTATAGGAAGAACTGGTACCTTTCTGATGATTTATACTGGAATGCAAGAGATAGATCACGGTAATGGTATCATCAACGTCCAGACTGTTGGTAAAAAGATGTTACAACAACGTCGATATGTCATCAGAGAGAAAAGCCAACTCAAATTCTGTTACGGAGCTATCTTGTACCATGCTCAGGATATATTGGCAAAACGTAAGTAGGAAATTTTAGAAAATATTTTAACCTTCTTTTGACTTTAGGGGTCCTAACCCATATAGAGCTATGCCTAACTAATTCTTACCCTAACCCAGCTGTAACGCTACATAGAACAAGCCTTAACCATAAATGAACACATAATCCCAAATCACTTGGACCTGTAATTAAAGGCATAAGGCAGTGTACTTGTTAGGGGGTCTATTTTACTGGTTTCCTGTTTACAATAGTATACACTACATTAGGTATAAAAGTAAATAAAATAAATATCAATTATTAGGTAAACTGATTATCTTTGTAGTAATTTGAGTTTATCAGAATTTTTTAAATTTTTATTTTATTGAAGCATTATTGTCTAAAATTCATATACAAGGGTTTAATCGAGCTGAAATCTATGGTAAAATATTAAAATATTGAAAATCAATAAAATTTATATTAACCTTTGAATAGAACATAAACAGGGAAGTTCTATTGCACCATTTATTTATGTTTTTCTCCAGAACAGTTGAATATTGTAGAGATAAAAGTTTACAAGTTCTGTTCTTTAGATTAATACAGAAGATATTTTTGAAATGAAAGGTGATAAGAACAAGATGTTGAAATAAAACAGATCAATACTGGTAACATAAACCAAAGTTCTGCTGAGCAATGATTAATTCTGTCATGCTATTCTATAATCTGACCATCACTGCCCTGCCTCTCCTCTAGTAAATCAATTGTAAGAAATTGGTTGTTGTTAAAAAAATAAGAAGATGTGGTAAGAGTGCCAATGGGACAACTCCACCAGAGACTAAATGACTAAGAAGTTAGCAACTATCAGTCACTGTATGGCCTTCCAACAACAAGAAAAAACCATACCGCATAGCAAGCTTTAAAAGGCCCCTGAAAGGACGGATGTAAAACAATTTAGATATTGTTGGCTTCTTCTATGATATAATTTTTAATTGTATAGTACCTATAGAATTGGTAGTTATATATCATTTGTCCTAAATAATATATGAATCCACAGTATATATAATGTATTTTACTAATTTTATTTGCTAAAATATTGTTTTTTTTACAGAAGGAATATTGGTTCGTAAAGCTTCATTTGGAGACAAGCTTCCTCATCCTGGAGAGAAGTCATACCAGTGGACACCTACAGATGATGTCATTTTTGGAGCATGTAGTATAAATGATCTTAAGAGCAATGTTGAAAGACTTGGATTACATTTAGGTATATCAAACCAACATTCTAGTCCAAAGAAAACTGTCACTCCAAAACAGGAAGTCTCCAGTGAGGAGGTGGATAAGCAACAGAAACATTTTTTACCTTCAAAGACAGAAGATCAGAAAATGGAGGGAACTTTAATGAGCAGTTTACCTGATGTTGTTCAAAGAACAGATGCGGCTAGACAGAGTGTGGATAGTGACCAAAAGTTGACTGGGTCCCTGTCTGGCTCTAATGCATCACTTTTAAGTGTTGGATCAGAATCGGAAAAGATAACAGGTTCACCGATACATAAAATAAGGTCTAGAGAAGGTTCTCCGAAACCCAGTTCTTTACATGGATCTCATGAGGGATCACCGAAATTGCAGTCATTGATGGATTTACAGAACCCAAGTTCATTTACACTTGGCTCTGATGGAGGAAAAAAGAAAATAACAAAAGCTAGTTTTCTTGAAAAGACTTCAGGTTTAAGTGATAATTTGGATTCAGATGATCCCTTTAGTTCGATAGATCCACTTTGGACAATGAAAAAGTAATATTTGTATTTTTTTTATATAGTTTTTTGTAGCATGTATTACAGTGTAAGTCTATTTCTGTCATTTCTGGAGGATTTTTGCAATAAAGTACATTTTTCACTTTATTTTAGGGTCGTCAAATTGCGATAAAATTCAATGCATACCAACTTCTCGAATCCTCTTATGGGGAAATTTAAGCACAAGATGACCTACAAAATATGTAGTCTAAATCTTACACAGTTTATAAGTGTTTCAATGATTATATGGTTTTGAATGAGTGTATGTCTGTTTAGAAGCCATTTATAACTCCTCTGAATGCTATTTTTGAGGTACTGTGGATTCGTTATTGTTTGTTGGATTCCAAATTTCATGGATTTCATGGCTATAGGTAGACAACAAATTTAAGTTCAACGAAGTAGGAATTTTTTGTAGACTTGTCTGTAGAAACCATGTAATCAAATATCTTCGAAAATGCAATTATTCATCAATCCACGAAAGTTGGTATCCACGAAAATAAAGGAATCACAGTATTCAGTTTATATAATGAAGGATTTAAGGAGTAAAGTCAACACCTCTCATAGAGGAAATCTCCCATCAAAGTAAAGTCAACACCTCTCATAGAGGAAATCTCCTACCAAAGTAAAAACACCTCTCATAGAGGAAATCTCCTACCAAAGTAAAAACACCTCTCATCCAGGAAATCTCCTTTCAAAGTAAAGTTGTTTAGTTGACAAGATGGGATTTTGATACCCTATTAAAATTATTGCTGTCAAATTATAAAATTATGTTTATATTTTAGTATAAAACATTTGTTGCTATTGTTCGTCAGTGATAATTAACATTGAAATAAGATAAATATCTTTGCTTGCATGCAATTTGTGCAATTGTCATATTTTTACTGTCAAATGTTCAGACTTTATCATCTTTTGTGATAAGAATATTGTATTTTGGAAATGTCTTTTGGGGCTTTATTTGTTATTATGAAGTTTTTTATTCAGACTGCATAATATTTAAAAGATGAATACCAAGCATTATGTTAAGACTGTATAAATTAATGCACAGTTTTATCAGAGTTTACAAAAGTGCTGGACTGCATATTGCACATTTGTGTACAGTTTTGTAAATTTTTGCATGCATTTGTAACTGTGATTTTCTTTACAATGGAAAAAATGCTGGATGAATTATTCTGATTTTAAGAAATGTAGCATACAAATAATGCTTTCAAGGTTATTTTTGCAGAATCTATCCTGTTGCAATTTTTCCATTAATGAAATCATTGCAAACATTTCTGAATTTACAGTATTTATTGACGGCAAATATATTTATTTACAACATACATATTTAAGTGTTTACAGAAAACATTAGAATTAAGTTCATGAAGTTAGCTGTTTTGCTAGATGGACCATGAAATTTTGAAATTTACTTTGAAAGAACAACAATTGCTATAATTATCTAATCAAATCATGGGAATGGTAAAAAAGGATATCAGACTGAATACCCTGTTTCTGATTTTACAACCAGGCTAATAGAGAATGCATGGTTTACATGACAAACTTCCAATTGACAGTTTGATTTTATGCATGAAGTGCATGTATGTACACACTCAAAAGTTTAGCTATAATATATAAAAATATCTACCTTCAATATTTATGAACTTTTTACACATAATCAGAGGGCATTATAGTGTGAATTTAATGATCTTTTTTTTATTTCCTTCATGTTTTGACTGTATAAGTGTACAAGAATAAGCACATTACATTGATGATATAAACTAGACAGTCCCAAAACTTAGTGATTTAATTTTACTGGTCGAGCTTCTCAGAGGTCTTTTTATGATTGAATTATTTTGAATTATTATTCATAAACAATTATTTTTTTGCATCAAGTCAACTATATCAAACTGGATTTTTCAAAGTGTTAGGAGGAATTTCAGGATAAGTGAAAACAGATAAACTTATACACACAAATTTATAAAAAAAAAATGTGAATTGTGAATTTATATTTTATTTCTGAAATGCTAAGGCACAAAATTATGTTTTTTTTTTTTAATCATGAAAAAAGATTAACAGGAACCAAGGAGCCAAGTTTGTGGTTACTAAATTCCGGACTTGACACATAAATTTTAGTTGAAAATATCCATAGTGCTTATGTTTAATTTTTGTGGCAGGTTGGACCCCTAGCTGCAAAATGTCAGTAGTTTTCCTTGTAAAAATTTGATGAGGTAATATTCTTTTTAATTTTTTAAAACATATCATTTGGGGTGTATGCCTTGAGGCAACATCTGATGAAATAATATGATATAGATCATGGCATTGAATGTAGAATATGAAGAAAGAGATTGTTATAAATAATTGAATTCAAAGAACTATTTGTTTATTTTTATACGACCGCAAAAATTAAAAAAATTTTGGTCGTATATTGGTATGATGTTGGCGTCGTCGTCGTTGTCGTCCGGCGTCGGCGTCATCTGAAGACACATTGGTTTTTCGCACTCTAACTTTAGTTTAAGTGAATGGATCTCTATGAAATTTTACCATAAGGTTCAATACCACAAAAGGAAGGTTGGGATTGATTTTGGGGGTTATGGTACCAACAGTTAAGGAATAAGGGGCCAAAAATAAGCATTTTTGTAACTTCCAGACATAACTTGTGTATTAGTGTATGGATCTTTCTGAAATTGTACTACAAGGTTCCATATCACAAAGGGAAAGCTGGAATTGAGTTTGGGGGTAATTGCCCAAAACGTTTAGGAATAAGGGGCCAAAAAGGGGCCAAAAATAAGCATTTTTCTAGTTTCCAGACAATAACTTGTGTTCAAGTGCTCTGAAATTGTACTGCAAGGTACCATACGACAAAGGGAAGGCTGGGATTGATTTTGGGGGTAATTGCCTCAAAATTTTAGGAATTAGGGGCCAAAAGGGGGCAAAATACAAGCATTTTTCTAGTTTCAGGACAATAACTTGTATGAAAGTGTATGGATCTTTTTGAAAATGTACTACAAGGTTCCATATCACAAAGGGAAAGCAGGAATTGAGTTTGGGGGTAATTGCCCTAAACGTTTAGGAATTTGTGGCCAAATAGGGGCCTAAAAACAAGCATTTTCTAGTTTCCAGACAATAATTTGTGTTCAAGTGTATGGATCTCTCTGAAATTTTACTGCAAGGTACCATACCATAAAGGGAAGGCTGGGATTGATTTTGGGGGTAGTTGCCTCAAAATTTTAGGAATTAGGGGCCAAAAGGTGCAAAAAACAAGCATTTTTCTAGTTTCAGGACAATAACTTGTGTGTAAGTGTATGGATCTTTATGAAATTGTACTACAAGGTTCTATATCACAAAGGGAAAGCTGGGTTTGGGTTTGGGGGTAATTGCCCTAAATATTTAGGAATTTGGGGCCAAAAAGGGACCTAAAAACAAGCATTTTTCTAGTTTCCAGACAATAACCTGTGTTCAAGTGTATGGATCTCTCTGAAATTGTACTGCAAGGTACCATACCACAAAGGGAAGGCTGGGATTGAGTTTGGGAGTGATGAATCATAAGGGGGTTCAAAAAATTTGGGGGAGGGATTTTTTTTTTCTTTAAAATTTTCCATTTTAAATTGGTTATTTCTGATTTATATATAAAAGCAAATAATAATATGGTTTGAATAGGTAAATTAAAAGTTTTTAAGTTCTTAGACCACATTCATTCTGTGTCAGAAACCTATGCTGTGTCAAATATTTAATCACAATCCAAATTCAGTGCTGTATCAAGCTTGAATGTTGTGTCCATACTTGCCCCAACTGTTCAGGGTTCGACCTCTGCGGTCGTATCAAGCTGCGCCCAGCGGAGCATTTTATTATATTATATATTATTATTTATTCAACTAATTGCACAGTGAAGAACAATACATGTATGATAAATATATATGGGATCATAGATTTATTCTTACGAGGAAGCTCCGAGCATGCTCGGAGGATGCTCGGAGCTTTTTCAGTAGGCTCTTCTCAGCAGTTTATGTGACAATAATTATCATGATCCATTAAGATGTCAATCAAATCTATAGCACTTTTATAATAAGGAAAGTAGAGCATTATAGAGGAAGCTCCATTAACACCTGTGTAAACATCTGGTCTATTCAAACAAATATTGCATTAAATTTACAAAACTATAAAATAGATGAGAAATTCTTCAATATTACTGTACAAAGCTTGGTATCAAGTCTTCACAGAAAGAAAATTATTTCAAAACATTTCCTTAATAATTATCATTCTTTTTCAATACACATGATATAAAAAAACACTCAAATTTTATATTTGAAATATAAATATATTTTAAATTTATACTATATAAAATGAAATATAAAAGTCATCAAAGACACAAACTATGGTTATTGATTTATAACCATACTACCAAAGCATAGTACATTCAGTTTCATACGAAAAAGGGTTGATCTTTTTTTATATTCCATTTAATTTGACAGTTGTTTGAAATAAATCCGCCATTTCATTGCAGAAAAGTTTTTTTGAGACCCAAACATGTTTCTTGGGTGTTACAAAGCAATAAAAATATATTATATTCTACAGGGAAAAAAGGGGGAGAGAAATTGACTGGTTAACTTCTGGTGATGTTTACTTTCTTATATGCACTGAAAAGTTATGCTATATTTTCACTGTAGTAAAGGACATTTATTTATGTCAAGTATTTCTTTATTTAAAACATAGATAAATTCTGCACATTTTTTTTGAAATATAACAATCATGACAATTAAACAAAGACTTATAGGGGGAAAATAATTTTACTCATGCCAAGTATTTCTTTATTTAAAACAAAGCTAAATCTGCACAATTAAAAAAAAATGCCAAGTAAAGAGAGACGTACTAGAGGGAAAACAATGGTGGTATTACCCCCTCAAACCAGGCATCCACTAATGAATTAAAACTTTTCTTAAAGTAGCCATAATTTTCTATAAAAGAACTTAGTTTGCTATTTAAAAAAAACATATTACCATTGTTTAGTTAGGGGCATTACTTAAACAAGTAATTTTCAAAATTGCCTATACAAGTTATGTTGAAAACAAGGCTGTTTCAAATATTACTTCTATATCATGAATAAGTAACTTCTGTTAATATTATTTTTATAGGTGTTCATTCATACAGGTTTTACTACCTTTAACAAATTTTCACAGACATCTGGTTATTTTCCCCATGAAATATACTGGTAAAGCTATTTAAATCCTCAACAAGCACTAATTGCTTTTCTGATGCCACACTTCTTGGTCAAAGATTGGCCTCTTGGGGCTATTATAATATCATTTCCCCTTAAAATCTTAGAGATAGACAGTTATAACTAGATATGGAACCTTTAATTAAGACTTGAGTTATTTATGATTTGAATCTTAATCGAAAGCAATTACATATATTCCTTAAATAATTGTAAGTACCAAGTTTTTTGAAGTTGTATAAAATAATTTATTAAAGTAATATTTTTGTTATTGTTTTTTAAAGTTACCTCTCTATACTCATCTAAAATTGGATAAATACTTAATTTTATTTAATGAAATGATATAAAAATTCTTGAAAACTACATTTAGTCCATGCTTTATTTGTCATTTAAAATAACTATTGAGTTATTAAATAATTTTTAAAAACAAAAAATATTTATAAAAGTGACTAAAAAAACTACTTGTTTAGTATCGCCACCTGACTGTTGTTTGTGTCTTGATAACTTTTATGTAGCATATTATATAATATAACTATTTTTAAATCATATCATCTAATTATAAAATTTGAGAATTTTTTTATTATAAAAAAAGGAATGATTATTAAATATATTAAGAAAATATTTAAATGACTTTTACTTTTTGTGGAGACTTGAGATTTCTTTCTAAGCATTACACAGCACTGTTGAAGAATTTCTAATCTATTTTATAGTTTTGTAAAATATAATGCAAAATGTATTAAAATAGACCAGATGTTTACACAGGTGTTTATGGAGCATCCTCTATAATGCTCTACTTTCCTTATCATAGAAGTGGTGTAGATTTGATTGACATCTTAATGGATCATGATAATTATTGTCACATTAACTGCTGAGAAGAGCCTACTTAAAAAGCTCCAAGCATCCTCCGAGCATGCTCGGAGCTTCCTCGTAAGAATAAATCTATGATCCCTATATTGGATGAATATCCATGAGTCAACACACAATTAAGCTAGACAATTTTTGTAACCAAACATAAAAAAAACTTGTTGGATAAAACATCTTATTTGAATATTTGGTGGAAATTCGTCATTTTCACCTGCCTATTACTGTCCACTCAAGTATTGCGTCAGAATTTGGACAAAAATATTTAATTCAATTGGTGTATATTCATGTAAAGTATTTGTGTTAATCTTATGATGAAAGAAAAGACATTTATTTATGTTCCATAAAGCTCTTACAGGCCTGATAGTAATTTTGCAAGTCTGGTTAGTGTTCCTGTGGCTAAGAGTGAAAAATGCCAAAGAAGAGACACCCACTTCCACCATGGACAATTGGAAATTATAAAATCCACCAAAGCTGCAGTATAGTAATGTTGTAGATACTTTAAACCCTTTGAATTTGTATATGGTGTATATGAATTTACACTTGCAAATCTGTCTTCTCATTCAACACAGAAAATGTTGAAAATTTTATTAATGAATTTCAGCAGCCTTTATTGTGATAATGTTGTGTATAATTGTTATCATTGTTTTGCTCCACAACGCTATATATGTATATTATGTTACTATGAAGACAAATTATTTATTGTTAATTGTGAAATATATAAATTACAAACTGATTTATTCTTAATTTTTCTCTGCAACGTTTGAGTAATCAAGTTATGTGAAGTTAACTTGCTTTAGGTGAATCCCTTTCTTAGTAGAAATTAAAGCATGAAATAAAGCAGTTGTTTCCAGGTGTAAATGTCTGTCTGTCTTGGTTCACCTGACCTTGACCTCATTTTGATGGTCAATTTTGGTTCATTGTAAATAATCCTCATTAGTTGTGTTTGTAATTTTACACGACTGTCATACAAGTGAGAGGTTTAGCTAGCTATAAAACCAGGTTCAATCCACAATTTTCTACATAAGACAATGCCTGTACCAAGTCAGGAATATGACAGTTGTTATCCATTCGTTTGATGTGTTTGAGCTTTTGATTTTGCCATTTGATTAGGGACTTTCCGTTTTGAATTTTCCTCTGAGTTCAGTATTTGTGTGATTGTACTTTTTGTCAGATACTACAGATTGTGTAAGTAATAAATCAACTGTGTTTAGTGTGTAAAATGATTGTGAAATGTACATGTCCCATCTGGTAGGGTATATCTGTACTTGATACTCTTTTCATTGTTCATTTGTTAATGTTTTGTTTGTTTAAATTATCGGTACAAAAAGGTCAACTATGTTTATTGTATAGAGTGATAGTATCGTGTACATGTCAGTCTGGCTAAAGTCAACTCACTTTGACCTCATTTTAATGGTTTATTAGTCAACCATGTTTTCGTAATAAGGTCCGGTTCTGAGCATCTAGAATAATTGTTAGGCTTACATGCCCATCTGGCAGGGTTTATCTCGACTGTACTTCATTTTCATGGTTCATTCCTCAATGCTAAGTTTTCATAAGTTAGATTGTTTTCGGATACTATAAGTGATAGGTCAATCTTATTGAGTTGATAAAATGATGTAATGTGTAAAATCTGTCTGATAGCTATTTTCATGGTTCGTTGATTGTGTCAAGTTTATATAGTATTTGTAGTAAGGCCATTAGCTTGAAGACTCAAAATAAAATTCAATTCGGATCAGAACAATTAAGGCTGTGCACATTGTTTTTGAGTTGCTGTTTCATTGATTCACAACTTGTTTGGACCAGGGTCAACTTAGGCCTTAACATTTTATATTCTGGGTAGAATTTAAAGTTTCTAACATATTAAAGAAAAGTGAAGATGGTATAAAAAACAGTTCTTTGTCATTATATTTGTAAAGGAGACATCAATCT